TTTTAAGAGTTTTAGCCAAATGCATTATAATATAGTATAGATATATATATATATATAGTTAAATAATTTATAATACGCATGAAAAGCCAAAATGATTAGTATGTGTGAGAACACAAATCAACACATCGATCCAATTCAGAAAGGGACGATAGTCGAAGCTCTTTCAAAGGCTGGTAGATATCCATTACAATAAAATTGAGTTTATAGGACACCCACAATTTTTAAGCGTCCAAATAGACTGTTTTATAAGATAATTTATAGAACCAACATATAAAGTGTCCTATCTAAAGGTGGTGTAATAAATTTATATGACGCTTTTGTGCGTCTTAACAAGTTTTTTAGGATATTTTTAATACAAAGTGACGCATTAGCAACTTTTTATGACACTTTTGAAAAAGTGTCCTATAAAATCATTTTTTTTATAGGACACTTGTTTTTATATGACAGTTTTTCAAATAGTGTCTTATAAAGCTGCTAATGGGACGCTTTATATTAAAAGTATCCTAAAAAACTTGTTACGACGTTAAAAACGTCATATAAACTTATTACAACGTCATTAGATAGAACTTTTTATTTTTTTGGTCTTATAAATTAAGTCATATAAAGAAGTCTATTAAGACGCTTAAAATTTGGGAGTGTCCTATGAACCCGATTTTGTTATACTGATAGTAAAGGTCTCCATATTGTATTTATTCATCATAGCAAGTATTTCCTACCACACTGTTTAGCATTTAGCTATCAACACAATTTATACGTATATGTGTATTTGTGCTTGTTTTCGACATGTTTTCAACTACGTAGGTTTAATAAATGATGTTTGCAGCAATGCATATCTTTTGAGTACTAAAACAATAATTCTAATATTTCAGAAAATATACATGAGCCAACAAACTTATACATGAGCAAATGAAATCTATACATGTGCAACCATAAGGGTGGTGTTAGATTGGTTTGAGTTTGGACTCCATAGGTCAAAAGTGTCTAGAGGTCCCAGATTCGAATATAAGGAGAAATAAAAATCCTCTTGTGGCCACAAAGGTTCAAATGCGTGACTCCAAGCTACCTACAAAACGGTTGATATTTTGGGATTAATCGGCTCACATAACAAATTGAATATTCCGGTTAATAAAATAATAATAATAATAATAATAATAATAATAATAATAATAATAATAAGTGTATACGTGTCAAGGCATCTAGGCCATAGTTGAGGTATATCACATGTGAATTTAGCCAACCCCATGAGTAAAGGTATTGCACATGTGAATTTAGGCATGAACCTACATGGGAGGTTTTTTGTTAAAGAACAATATATATTCCCACCACCACTTTGGGTGGCGCCGGCGACAAATAAATACTTATCCAATAATTAACGGTGAATAGAAATATATAATAAAATCCCATTTCCATTAGTTAATTAATGAATAAAATCAATCGTATGAAAACAACAATATCTTTACATTAATCCACCCTAATTGATAAAAAATGAATTGTTAAATGAAAAGCAAAAGGAAGTGGCTGATTGTATGGCCAATTTAGTAATTTGGCACGTCGCCGGCGATGATGGCCGCCCGCTGCTTCTTTGCCGGATGTGGACTTTCGACTTCCTGTTCATTGAACGACAGTTGACTTTTCTTCACACAGTCAACGTTCAAACCCAATTGGAATTCAGGGAAAGCCGGCAAGTTTAAGTCAAAATTACGCGGTTGACTATGGGTGGAGGAAGTGGTTTTCTCGGAGGTTGTGACGCCGCTGCCGGGGTTGTTGCCGTCGTAGTGACGCCTTTTGTGACCGCCGAGAGCTTGGCCGGTGGGGAAGGATCTGTGGCAGATAGAGCACTCGTGGGACCTACCACTGGGTTTCAAAGCAGAAGAGGCGGAGGCGCTAGCGGTGGTGGTGGCGGAGGTAGATGGGTGGTCATCGGGGACGTTTTTCCGGTGGCTAGCTTTATGTCCACCAAGTGCTTGATAAGAAGAAAACCCCTTGTTGCAGACGCTACACTTGTGAGACACCGATTGATGAAGAGGTGGCAGTGGAGGAGACTGGACGGTGGTGGCGGCGGTGGTGCCACGGGAGAGTAACATGAGACAGAAAGCCAAATACTCCTCCTCCGTGGGGTGAGGTGATTCCGTGGGATGAGTGACGTCGCTAGCGCTGTCGGCACTGGTGGTGGTTCTCGGTCGCTTGGAACGCTTGCCTTTGTTCCAAGAATCTTGAATTACGGTGGTGGTGGGAAAGTTGTAATGGAAAGAAGGTGGTGGCGCTGCCGCAGTGGTGGTGGTGGCCGGTGAGTTCAAAGCTTCAAGTGCCATTTGAGATGAATTGAATTGTTGTAGTGCAAATGTTGTAGTGAGTTATCGTATGGCATCTTGGTGTGTATTTATAGATCGAAAAGTATTCCCCTACCATAGTTGACTAACTTATTCAATATGATGACTACTACCATTCCATATATATCCTCCAACTCATTTTTAACTTATATTTATACTTATTACTTTTCGTTACACTATACAATACTCGAGAATCTAGCTTTCGGGTTTTCTTAGCTTCGAAAAACCGTCAATGTCGTATGAGTATATAAAATCCAAGTGGAAGTCATCAAAACGAGTTTGTTCTCCATTTTTTTTTCCTAAACCGTTTAAAATTCAAATTGTTCAAAACGTATCTCCGGACCTGCCTTAGCCTCGAGATCTCGATACACTACGACTATCGGGTTCGTTTTATTTGTACGTTGTTGAGAATTATGACATTTTATGATCAAGATTTGTTATGACGTCATAATTAATTAATTTTGATGAAAATAAAATTAATGAAATGCAACAAGTGGGGAAGTAGGAGGGTACACGTTGAGTCGAGTGGGTGAAGTCGGCGGTGATGTGGGTCAAGAAGAGTGGGAGTGGAGTTAGGGGGGGTATAAACGTCTTTTCGTGCTTAAAAGGAAACCATCAAGAGATTGACTTGGCTGCTGCTGCTATTTTTCTAAAAATCGTGCGAGTAAAAGAGAAGGCAACTTCAAACTTTTGACTTTTTCAAAGTCAAATCTTCTGCCCAATATAAACGTGTTTTTCTACTTTCACAATTACAATTTCATTCTGATCGTTTACCCAAATGCTTATCCGGTAAGTGTTTAACGATAGGATTCAACATTATAATTTATTTTTATACGTAAGATTTTAGTATATCAAAACATATCGAATGCAACAAGTTACTTGGTAAGTGTTTACCTGATTAAGACACTCTATTCTTTTCATTGCTCTTACCCGGTAAGATTCTTGGTCCTTCTCATGTTCATCCGATAAGAAAATTTATCCGGTAAGCACTTATCAAGTAAGTGTTTAATAAACGACCCCTTAGTCAATCAATTATTAAATTACGTATTATATTATTTAATTTTATATTAACGACTTATTATAAGTAATTTTAGAGTTCATATATTTATTGATCCCATTGATATATTAAAAAAATTAATAAATATTTTATTAAGACTAGAAGCGTACTCGCGCAATACATTGAGATATATCGTGTTTTTAATATTTTATTTTATTCTTTATCTCAGTCGATGTTATAATATGGCTTTATATGATTTTGAGAAAGCGATGATGTTTTTATTTTTGAATAAAATATATGTTTGACGATATCATAAAAATTTAACAAAAATATATTGATATTAGTATC